ATGGTGGTGCAGCCAGGCTTCCCATCCCCAAACACACACACACACACACACACACACACACACACACACGCACAAGCACCGCACACACCAAGACCAAGCACACCACCCACTTGGCTAAACCCCAGGTGGTTAATGGTGATGCACCCAGGCGCCCCATACACACACACACACACACACACACACACACACACACACACACACCAAGCACGCCACACCACCCACTTGGTCCCACCCATCTCCGGGGAGGGGAGGGACTGGGAACCTGATCTCCCGGCTCCTGCCCAGAACGTTTCCCCATCAATAATGTTGATACCATCGATGTGCCTGCTCCCCGCCCCCGGGGCGCCGCGGCCGCCTTTTTGCCGCTCTTTGCTCGGCGCAGGAAAACGAAACCTCCTCTACTGCCCTCATAGCCCCGGCCTGAGGCCTGGGACTGTAAATTTCGGAAGCTGGAGCTTAGCCAGAGCGCTTAGGGACCACCTCCACCTCTGGAGTAGGATAATCAACTGAACCAATGGAGCCCGAAAGGGAGTCGGGGGTCCACACAAGACTTAAGCTCTACCCCACACCGGGGTCAGACTGGACCATAATTAGGAAACTTTATGGGCAGAAGAACCAGGCCTCATGGAAGGCCTTCAAGCCATCACCCCTTCCTAAAATTGGAGCTCGAACAAAGAAGCCCTTCCCTGGGAATTTAGCTGTGGCCGCGGCCCTAGGCCACGGCCTTTGGGCCAGCCAACTCACCGAGGACAAGCTAGACCTCAGGAAACCGAGGCGATCCAGTGGAGGGAACAGAGACACCCCTCCCGTCCACCCCCCAAAGGCAGTTTGCACAACTGCTAAGCGCCTCTCCAGGGTGCGTTTCGTCTTGGTCCGAGAGGTCGCGACCCCTGAAGCTGTCACCTTCCTTTGGGCCACCCCATTCCCTAACGGGAATCTGTCTCTATGTACCAGGCTCTCCCGAGGAACCTGCAATCTACAACCTATCCTCGGCGTGTCCCAGCGGCAGCCCCCAGCCGCAGCTGGAAGGGCTCGACCCCCAGGAGCGCTCTGGCCTGGAGGTGTGCGGAGCGTGCGGAGGGACCTCAGCCGTGGCACCTCACTGGCCTTCGCTTTCTCGGTCCGTTCAAAAATAAAAATTAATCCCCCAGTCTGTGTCCATTTTCATTGATTCAATTACGTCTTCGCTCTGCGGCACGCGGTGCCTCGCCAGCTTGCTGACACTTCGGCGACCGCACCGGCGAACCGCGGAACTTGGGCGCGAGACAATGGCCTGTAATTGATGTGTCGCCACCAACAATAAAGACCAATTCTCCTCTCCCGGCCATTCCAACCGTCCCCTTCCTCCCATCCCCCTCCTCCACCTCCTCTCATCTCTCCCCGGCCAAAGGGAAAGAAAACAAACAAGAAATTAGCGGGGGATGCCGCTTGCACAGCCGGGCGCCCGCCTCTACGTCGTCGGGGACTGAAAAGAACGAAAAAAGTTATCAAAGTTTAGATACCTCCAATTAATTCGTCTCTGCTCGCCCGTTTTTAATTAAACCGCGCAAAGCAGTTTTTGCATTTTCGTTCGTTTGTTGTGTTTGGGGGGAGATCCCCCTCCACCCTTAATCACACATAGAGCCAACAGTGAGCACGCGTGAGGCTTCTCTCCGGAGTTTCCCGCGGAGCACACCCCTACCAGGGTTTGTGGGCCCGCCACAGCTCCACCGGGTTTCTGGCCACTGGATTGCCCTGAGGCTGGGACTTTCAAAAAGCCAAGAATGTTAAGAGACTGTTTAGGGCGGTTCTAAACCCGGGCAGATTCGGGAAGAAAGGTGCAGGCGCGCCTGGGAGGGTCGGGGCGCCGCGCGTTCGTGTGTTTTCAAGCGCACCGAAATGCGGAGTCGGGGGCAAGGGCTAGATTTAAAAGTGCTCAGGTTTGATCGCGTTCCCGGGGGTTTGGGCAAAGCGAGCGGCTCGCACCCCGGGAGCGCGCAAATCCATCTTTGCCTAGGGATCTCTTTAAATATTCAGTGAGAAATAATGGCATTTGAAACACCACCTATGGAAACATTATTATCTTCATTCTTCAACATCAGACCCACTGATAGCTTCGTTTGTCTTTTTATCAAAATCTACGGTGCCCAACAGAACCTGGGGAGAAGGGAAGAGCGAGGTGCGGCAGCCCAAGTTGCTGCGCGATGGGTGGGAGAGCAGGGGCAAAAAGAAGAAAAAAAAAAAAAACCTAAGAGAACGTAGGAAGGGTGAACAGGGAGAATGAGAGAAGGGCGAAGTTATGCCAAAAGAGAATAAAGTCCGCAGACAGAAAAGATACGGTCAGCTAGCGCACAAAAGACGAAGGGGAAAAGAAAAAGAAGGGGAGAGGAAAATTTAAAAGGCCATTTAGGAACGTGCGACATGGGTTCCGAGTCCCGAGGCTGTGCTACGAAGGACGCTGGCCACTTCGCGCGAGCCGGCCGTGTCACGATCCAGACTCGGAGGCGCTCCGGAATTGGGGCGTCCTTATGAGCCCTCTGCTATCCCGATCGCGAGATAGGGCAAGGATTGTGTATCTGTACCCCTCCCCCGCCGCCAGCCCCATCACTCAGCCCAAGTTTAGTTAGTTTAGTCCTTCGGGCGCAGGGCTTCGGGAACCTCCGCGAGCGGAAACCCCGAGGCGGGAGGAGATCTGGGCTGAGCTGAGGACCAAGCCTCAGGGTCGCAGGCGCCTAAGCCCGGAAGAGGGAGTGCAGGGCCGGGATTCCTGGGTCCCGCGCGCGGGTAAGGGAGGCTGTCTCCCAGCCCCGGGAGACGGAGCGAAAAGTTTGAGCGCCGCGCGTGGCAAGCGTCGGAGGAGTGAGGGCGAGCGGCGGCGTAGCCGGGGCTCGGCGGACAGGACCCCCTTCCCGCTCGCTCCCTTCGGGCGGCCTCCACCCCTAGGGCGAGGAGAGCTAGGGTCCCGCTGCAGCCGCACCTCCCAGGACGGGGGCGCGCCGCCCGGCTCCGGGGCAGCGGCGCCCCTCCCCTCCCCACCCCTTCCCTCCTCCCCGCAGAAGCTGAACTCGGAGCCCAGGCGGGTCCCCGCTCTACACCCGCCCGGGGCCTGGCGGCGCCACGGTGGCCGCCGCCTCCCCGCGGAGTGACGCGCCCTGCAGCCAACCGGGGCGGCCGGGGGGAGGTCCGGGAGGGGTCCTGGGCGGAGCCGGGCCGCCCCCTTATCCCACGGGCTCGGGGCGCTTCTCCCGAAAACTTCAGCCCTAATTGTCCCGGGGAATGTCCGAGGTAGAGAAAGGGAGCTGAGGAGCCAGCAAGAGGCTGGGGGGACCGCGGCTCCCAGGCAGGGAGAGGATGGGGTGGCGAGGAAACCGCCCCTCCCCCGCCTCCCGGGCCCCAAACCCGTCAGGTTCCCAAACCTTTCCTGGGTCCTCTTCTCCGCACCCCCGCGAGCCCGGGATCCTGGGAACGGAGAACTCTGGGCGCAGGATCTCCGAGCCAGGCGGCGGGCAGGCGGGAGGGAGGCCAGGCGGCGGGCGGGAGGCGGACCGGCGTGGGGCTGGCTCGTCCCCACACTCGCTTATTTTTTTTTTTTTTTATGAGGGTGGGGGTGGGCTGCTTTCTGGTAGCCCTTAAGGAAACGAAGGAACAACTCACAAAACGGGACGCCCTCCGCCACTGCCGCCACCAACCCCCCCAACACCCCCAAATCCCGCCACGGGACTCCCTCCCTCCCCGCCCCCCGCGGGCGAGCGCGCAGCAGCGCGGGAGTTGGGAAGTTCGGCGCTCGCCCCCGCCGCCGGCCCCACCCCCACGCCGCCCCGCTCCGCCGGGCTCCGGGGCGGGCATGCTAATTCGGGTCGGCCCAGCCCGGGATGGAGGGCGGGGTGGGGGGAGGGGAGCGAGCGGGGGGCGCCGGCCGGGGCGCCGGGCGCGCAGTGGCGAGGAGGTAGGCCCCCGGCGGGCCGAGCCGCGGAGTCCCGGGCGGTCGCCAAGAGGGTTAACCCGGAGCCGGGCGGTGCGGCGCGCAGAGCCAGCCCAGCGGCCGGCTTATTGGGCCAGCGCGAGGAGAGACAGGGGTCTGCAGCAAATCACGAACTAATTGATTAAGGCGAGCGGGTTTGAATAGCGCTGGCCCGGTGCCAATCGCCTTTCAAAGAGCCTCTCTATGATTAATCGCAATGCATTATTGATAATCATAATTATAGCAGGACACATGCGCGCTGTGCCCGGGGCCGGGGAGCCGGGGAGGGGGCGGGCGGGCCGGCGGGCGGGGGGAGCCGCCGCCGCCGCCGCCGCTCGATTTCCGTAATTTTGAGAAGATTTTTTTTTAGTAATTTTTTATTCTGCCCCAGCTGATGTTTGAGCCAGCATGTCGCGGAGGAAGCAAGCGAAGCCTCAACATTTCCAATCCGACCCCGAAGTGGCCTCGCTCCCCCGGCGAGATGGTGAGTACTCCGGCCCGCGCTGCGGACACACACAGACACGCGCACTCACACGCACACTCGGACCCACGCACACGCGGCGGGTCCCGCGCCCACCGCCGCCGCTCTCGCCTTCTGCGCTCGGCGCGTCTGATTTTTGTTTTTATTTATTTCATTTTTTTAATATTTCGTGCTTCCTCGATTTCAATTTGCCGGGCGGGCTTCCTCCTGCCCCGGGAGAGCCAGCCCATCCCGGCTGGAGCTTCCCGGAGTTCCGTGTCCTCTACTGGGCGGAGCGGGGTCCACCGACCCGCTCCCCCCCCTCCGCCCCGCCGGTCCGAGGAGCCGCGGCCGCGGCCCGGCCTCCCCGGGGGGCGATCGCGAGGCCAGAGGCCGCCCATGGCTGCCCACGCGAGCCCCCTCGCGCTACCCGCGCGGCGCCCGGGTCCCCTGGCTGGGCCTCTGTCGCCTGGGCCTCGCCGCGCAGCCCTGCGGCCGGCGTTAGGGAAGTTTACTTCGTGCCGGCCGAGCGCGCGGGGAGCCCTCCGCGCCCCTCCCCACTCGCTGCTCCCCACTTGGCGAGCGGGAGAAATGTGGTACCTTCGGAGGTCCCCGGCTGGGGGAAGCGGGGACTGGGTCGGAGGAGCGGCGTCCTGGAGTGGCTGCCGGGGCGTGCTGCGGGTCGCTCTGCAGACTGGCGTAGGGACCGGGAAGCATCGCGCGGTCCGGCTTCCCAAGTTTATCCCACCTCGCTTCTCCCAGCGCCTGCACCCGCGATCCCTCAGATGCGGGCTTGGGTGTGTGCTTCCCGCGGGGTACGGAGCCCCATCCTTCCACCGGACACTCTCTCCGGCCTGGGGGGGTTGGCCAGCCAGACCCCCTGACGCGGGCGCGCGAAGCAGGCGGGCTACCGAACCAAGTGGACAGGTCGGGGGAAAGTTTGTGTGCGGGAACCGTGGCCTTGGAGTAGAAGAGGCGCGAGCGGGGAAGCGGGGCGACCGAGGGGGGAGCCCCTCCGACCCCTGCTGGACCCGAGCTCCCGGGCCTGCGGCTCCGCTCGGGTCCCGGGTCACCCGGCACTGGCTTGGCGACCACCGCTGCCCCTCGGGGTCCTCCGTCCCGGGAGGCGTTACGGGGCGTGGAGGCGGGAGCTGCACCCCGGCGGGGCTCGGGAGCGTGGCCTGAGACTCGCGCCTCGACCCACTCGGCTTTGCCGGAGCCCGCAGCGCAGCCTCCTTCCCCAGAGGCCTGACTCTCCGCGGCTCTGCGGGCAGGGCGCGCGGGCAGAGCCCCGACCAGGCGGGACCCGCGCCCGCTTCCTCCCCGCTGTTGGGAGAGGGTTGTCATGGCGTGGAGATACCTGGACCTTTTTTCAGGCGACCTGAGACCTATTAAGACAACTGTTTGTCCAGCACCTTTTGAAGCCCCGAAGCTTTGCCAGTGTGAGTCTCTCAGTTCTCCGGAAAGATCCCTTGAAATCACCCGGCTTCACACACCCCCACCCGAAAAAAAAAAAAAAAAAAACCGGTTTGAGGGTAAAACCAGATGAAATTAACCAAGGCCGCAGGGACCACTCGGACTATTTTTTGTGGGGCTTCTCAGCTAGATTCTTAGGCCTCCTGCCGCCCCCACACCCATCTTTTCCTAAAGTTTCTGCCCTTTGCACTGGAATACTGTTAGTTAACAATTTGCCAGCGAGCGGGGGAGGGGGATAACCAGGAAAGAGAAAGGGTTTTTTTGTTTTTGTTTTTGTTTTTGTTTTTTAATTTTGTAAATTTGTACTGAGTGTATTTTCCACGCAAGAAAAAAAATTAAAAAGCAACTACCACCACCTCAGGCTTCGGAAGAAATAATGCTTGCTAGTTCTCTGCTTTGAGTCTGGATCTGGAATTTTTAATAGTTAAGGCTTCTCATAAAGCGATAGCATTAAAGGAGTTCACTGCCTCGTGCTATTATTATTTATTAGTACAATTTTTTTTTTAGTTTATTTGAGCTTTGAGGTAAGTTAATTAAGGAACTGAATCAAGTTTCCTTTCTTTCTCTTTCTTCTTTTTTACTTAATTTCTCCTTTTTTTTTTTCTTCCTAAAAGCTAGTTCATTGTCCACAAAGCAATGATTATGCTCAGCACCCTAAGAAACACCCCTCCTCACTCCCTCCTCTTCTGAAGTAGTAATAGTTTTAGGTTATGACTGTTTTTACATGGTTGATCAATAAGTTTGGCAGAAGTCGCCTAGAGGGTAGATTCTGTAATAGGGTTACAGGATAGCACTCCTAAACCAGCAGCCCCCCTCCCCCCAACACACACACACACACACACACCAGCTGACGGTCAGGAGGGCCTGGCATACCCCTGTTCTCTTCATTTGGGAATGGTAGTGAGGTAGTGTATAGAAATGAAAGTTCATGACACAGCTCAAGTTTGCTTTAAAAAGTCAACTTTTCTGCAAGGACTCCTGCAATCTCCGTCCATTTCCCTGCACCTCAGAAGCGTCTGCTGAACCTGTGGTATTTTTACTTTGGAAGGAAATCCCCTACTCACTCAATGCCAGCCTTACTCTTTCTTCTATCTCAAGGGGGTCTTACTGCGGCAAATGAAATATCAGACATTACCAAAGTAATGCTGGCTTATGCCCTTCTTCCATGATGTCTGTCCCCCAAACTGTCTGACTTCCACAAAGAGCAAAACCTAAAAAACTTTTGAGACCCAGCCCCAGTGGCCCTGAAGCAGCCACTCCTGCTGTTATGTGCCCTGGTTCACGTTTATGTAGTATGTGTTGTGTTTGAGCTTTACGAAGAAAGAAATGCAATGCTAAGCAGCCGTTCCAGCAGTTTCGTTTGAAGTTAAAAAAAAAAAAAAAAAAAAAAAAACAAGATTGTTTAGTTGGTCTTAGAACCTTGATGGTTTATTCTACTTGGGTATTCCTATAAGGTTTTTTCTGTTTCTTATGAAACCAAGATTTTGGTAAGTAGGATTCATCTTTTAAAAGATATTCAACAAGTCTCCAGTTACTCGTTGAAAGATTGACTGGCCTTGGAAATATTATTTACCAAGATAGAGAATTCTTAAAAAAGGGAATATGTGAATCTAATGATTTAATATGTGCTTACTTTTCTGTGGGTTTGGATTTCCAGGGTTGTGTGTGTGTGTGTGTGTGTGTATGTGTTGGGATTATTGTTTTTGTTTTGTTTTCCACTCCGTTTAGTGATGGTTTCGAGATTTTTGAAGCTATTTAGAGGCCCCATTCTGACTCCATTCGTTTAGGTGTCTTGTTGCTCCACTTTTTAAAGGAAATAATGATATTGGAAGAAAATTAAAACACCGGGAGTTGAAGATAAAAATTTGATCCTCCTAAGAAATATCCTGAAAACTCCTCTTACTCATATTAATAAAAAAAAAAAATTCTATTATTTACCAAAGTCATTTACTCATTGTAAGTAGCTTAATGGCCACACATTGATTTCTGGACCCAAAAGGTTAGAGAGAACTACAATGAATTGCTTTAAAAAAAAAAAAAAAAAAAAAAAAA